TTTAAAATAGAAAAAGAGATTGAAGACAGAGTCCTCAGATACACAAAGTCCTCTATCTCTTTTTCTGTGTCCCCTGTTATCAATGAACAGGAATCCTCTATACTGAGTGTTCCTGATGATTGATAACATGAGGACATGGTATGTTTACTATAACTACAACTATGAATGAACAGGAGGTGATGTAGATCTCTTCCCATTCATTCATAATTGAGGATATAGTCAACATACCATGTCCTCAATTATGTACAAACACTCAGAGATCACTGAGCGAGCGGAGCAGGGAGGAGAGCTCAGCCTCCTGTGACAGCGCGGCCTGTCTCCGATCTGCCGATCTGTGAATAGGATGCATACCATATGCTCAATTATGTACAAACACTCAGAGATCACTGAGCGAGCGGAGCAGGGAGGAGAGCTCAGCCTCCTGTGACAGCGCGGGCTGTCTGCGCCCCCACACTGCTCTGCCGGACTTCGATAGGAGGCTGAGCGGTGTGGGAGGAGAGGCGCCGGCCGCTCGCAGCGCTCTCCTCTCGCAGCGCTCGGCAGGCTGTCACACTTTCTCTCCTCCCCGCTGGGACACAGAGCAGCACCCACTGGGGAGGAAAGAAAGCATGGATGTGCCGATGTATCAGCAGGAAAATGGAAAAACTTCCGGCATTATGCCAAAAGTGCCATTTTCGGCCGATATATCGGTGCATCCCTACTAAATACTTACCTCCACTGCTGACTGTGCTGTGTAAATGCACACAGGAGTTACATCATCTCGGCATGCCTGGTCTGTAAAAAAATAATGCTGACAGGCACGTAGGAGCTTTTTAGAAGAGACTTTAGTAGGGCATACACGGGTAGATTTTTGCACAAACGTTCGTACAGAGAAATCCCATCAGAATGTTCGATGATACTATTAGAAAACCACATTCACCATTAGAATTTCGTTCAATCGAGAAAAAATTTCCAGCATGCTCCTACAAATTTTTTTGCCACTGCAGTTGAAATCGATCATCAATTTCACAGCATCAATTAGAAAGTCGAACACACGTTCCAAAATTGATTTAGTTCATTCAAAATTCTAACCTAGTTTGCCCTACTTTACACACTCTGTTCTCTTAAAAGAATCCTGCCTGTCTCATACAGATCACTTTAGTCCCTGTGCACACCTGGACGTTTTGACGTTCAAAGCTAAGCGTGACAAAACTCTCAATATAAGAGATGTTATATCTATGGCCCATGTTCACACCTAAGAGTTTTGTCGCTGGAAAAGGTACATGAGCTTTTTTCAGACAGATTACAGAGCGCTTGGCCACATAGACCTCAATGGAAGTGCATTAAAATGTGCGACACATGCGTTTAGCACATTTCTGTGCGAGTCTTGTGCGCACATTTGCTCTTTCACCACAATGCATTTCAGTCTGCTCAATAAAATGTGCATCTTTGCATATATAACACACGTAAAAATGTGCAAAGCGCCTAAAACCACGCTAAACACGCTAGATGGAACGATTCAAAATGTACAAAACAAAACGTGCACTATATGCGCAAACACGCTGACGCCCGCGCGTGAACGGACAATTACCGTATTTTTCGCTCCATAAGACGCACTTTTTTTCCCCCAAAAGGAGAGGAAAAATGTGCCTGCGTCTTATGGAGCGAATACCTATCGCCCGACGCCCGGGACATGCAGTTTCGGGCGCCGGGCGGGTAGTTTTTTGTACATTCAGCCCTGCTCCTGACAAGCAGAGCTGAATGTACAGTGGGAGCCACTGCTCGTTTAATACAAGTGATGTAATTAGATCACCATAGGAGCTCACCATAGAGCCCCTTGAGCAGACCAAGAACGTCGTTCTTCGTCTGTTCTGTGTGATTACTGAGACAGCGCCACCTGTCTCAGCGGTCACTAACTGCAGCTTCTGTCACAGAATTTCTGTCACAGAAGCACTGCATCCTATCGTCCGGAGCGCCATATAGAGCGCGAAATACGGTACTTCTGCTTAAATAATTCCTTGGTTAAAATATACACCGTTCTCTCAAAGTCCATAATAATAATCCTGTGGACACAAAATGTAACTTTACAATAAATATACAATCTCACAAACAAGCTCTTAAATGAGGTGTAAATGAAACAAATCACAAACATTAAATCACACAGACATTATACTGTATGTTATTTACAATCCATGTATCCATGTGTGTGTTACTTGTAAACTATTATATCTTTATTTTATTATCATAACTACGTGCTGATACTTGTTTCATTTTCACATGAGTATTTATTGCCAGCCTTTCTCCACGGCAGCTAAAGATGTAGCAGCCAGTGTTCAATTTAGTGTGGAGCAGCACACAGTGACCTGAACCCTGAGCTGAGCACACGCGTAGTCATCCATTTTATTCCATACGTTCATTGAGCTGCTTGGTGTTAAATCGTATATCTAAATCAGAAAGCAAAAATTGAATATATTGCAGCTTACCAATCCTTAGATGTGGTGACAAAAGTGGTTGATAGAGGATTGAAGCAAACCATTTAAAGCGACACTAAACTCATGAGTTAAATCTTAAAAATACATTCAGGTACCTTAACTATTACCAAAAATGTATCTTATTTGTGAATCACTCGGCTGTAGATCCTCCAATCGTCTCTGAATTCATGCTGACACTGTCCTTCCTTCTGGAGGGTGGCTTCTTCTTTTTCCCATGGTCCCTGTGTGTTGTAATGTAACCACCACTCCAAACGTGATGGGCTACAATTACAGATTAGTAAACTAAAAGTGAGATTGTAGTCCACTTTGTTTTGATGCCTATGTAGAATAGTTTCAATTTTAATAAGCTCTCAAAAGTATTGTGTGTGTGTGAGGCAATACTCCAAATAATGATTGCTTAGACCTCCAAGTACTTTTTCTCACCACACTTTTCCCTTATACAGTACTAGCTTTTCTAGATAAGCAATAAATGCAAATAGGCTTATTTAATAAATTAAAATCATGTGCAAGGAATATAAAAACAATATTTTTACTTGAACATGATTGGGTGATGGAAGTTACCCGAGCTTCACCTCATTGACTAAGCTAAGGGAAAATTCCCTTGCAAACTGCAAATTCACTCGCAAAGTATCACAGCCTATTTGCCTTTAGTAACTCAACCCCCGAAAGCAACTGTGATCCTACTGCAGATGTGTTTTGCACAAGCAGATACAATATTTGCTTGTTATATATATAAGTGGTTGCCCGGCTGAGAATACTTTGTCACATGGGTAGAACTGGGAAAATCCATCTAGATCAGAGGCCCCCAAACTCTTCAACTTCTTCATGAAGTTTTGTATTGTTCATCGACCCTGAAACATTGGTTCCATTTTTTTGTTGCGTGCTATGAGCAGCTGCCATTATGGTTGTTAAAGTGCTGAATGTTTAGTAAATGAACAGCAATCAGTTCTTTGGCAAAACTCCTATCGCGATGGGTAACTATGACATTCTACATATGAACATTTACAGGGTTATTCACAAAAGGGTGAAGCGTTTGGAGAAGGCAGGAGAAGTGAACAATCTAGGACAGGGGTGCCCATTAGGTAGATCGCGATCTACCAGTAGATCGCAAAGCGAACACTAGTAGATCGCAATCGGCTCACTGACCTGTGTCCTGCCCTCCCGCGGTGCTCGTGCGGCTAAATGTGTCAGACGCCGCAGACGGGAAGGAGAGAGGAGAGGAGACTTTGGAAGCTGCTGCAGTGGAGGTAAGAAAAGACAGACAGGAGAGAGACAGCAGAGAAAGTGAGAGAAGAGACAGCAGATAGAAACAGGGGAGAAAGAGAGGAGAGAGTGCGAGGAGAGAGAGAAGAGAGGGCCGGTTGACTTCAATGCACTGCCAAGCCCCCTCCCGCCCCTGAATGCAGGTGTGTTTTCATTAGTAGATCTCATTGAGCTCATCATTTGAAAAGTAGATCTCCAGACGAAAAATTGAGGGCGCCCCTGATCTAGGACAACAGAGCTGAACTGGAAAGTGAGCTTAATTGGATAATTTTTCCAAATCAGCTGTTTTGGCCTAGATTGTTCACTTCTCCTGCCTTCTCCAACCTCTTCACCCTTTTGTGAATAGACCTGTTAATATTTATCAATTTGAAACCAGCCTGTGGGACTCTAGGCACCTTTTCACAGGTTTACCAAAATAATTACTACCCTATGAAGTTTTACTGTTACATAATGCTAATACAAGTGCCATTGATGCACTCCGTATCAAATGTTTATTTGTAAAACAATAATAAAATTGATCTGTCTTTGTTAATTATTTTATTTACTCAGTAGTAACTATAGTGATGCCCTGCCACAAATGATCTGCCTCAGGGCATGGATAGCTTGCAATTATTGAAGCAGTAATCACTTTGAAAATATATAAGGATATTCTAGAGCAGAGTGCGGGGTCTTCTGTCAGGGATTTGAAACCCCAAAAACAGCTTGATCATAAAACTTGGCAACTGACAGAAAGAGCATGAGTAAAACAAGCAGAAGAGTTTGAGTCAGAGTCTTGACCTAGTTCCCATGGAAAGGCTGTTGTGTGATCTGAATCAGACTAGTCTTGCAAAGGCATTTTAAAATCTAATGAACTTTTGTGTACAGGAATATACCTCCTTACTGCTAATTTAATCGATGACTTTGATTGTTCTATAAAATGGCACGTCAAGAAATGGCAATATTCAGTCAAGAAACGGCAGTGTAAAATTATTTATATGCTATTTATATATTATTGACTCAAATGAAAATCTGATTGCACCTTATCATTTATGAAGAAATCCAGAAAAATCCCTATGGTTGACAAACCTTTACAACTCCAATTATTTTCTTGGACACATTTATAATGTTATTGTATCGGAATTTGGATCTTGTCAATTCTGAATTAATTAATGGAAAGAAACTCAACTAGCTAGAATGTAGGTTTATTCTGTGGCCAACAAATAAGAAAAAATGACTCTGATTTACCTTCATGCAGTTGTTTTATGCAGTTTTCTTTTTCGGTTACAGCCCATGGGAACAGAGCGGATGGAGATGCGCAAGCGGCAGATGTCAGTGCACCAAGAGACTGTGAGCTCCTCTCAGGCACAGCAGGGAGTTGGGAATAGGGGATCTAATGCGTGCTGCTTCTGTTGGTGCTGTTGCTGCAGCTGCTCATGGTAGGTGAAATTTACATTACACTTCACCTCATTGTAACCATTAAACACAATCAGGCTTATTAAGTAAGACATCGATCATCCATGGATAAAATGTACTAGCTTATAGATATTATACAATGCTTCTCTCTCCATGTCTTTTACATGCACTTCTTACTGAGTCATAATGCTGCCTGCCTTTTACAAATGTCTCTGCACATGCTTTGTATGACAACTTGTTAACTATTTCCTGCCATAGCGGCTCTCGTAGTTCTTTAATAACAAGTTTACCCTAAAGGGTATAGGGAGCTGAAACTTTTTTTTTAAATGTTGTATAGAGTGGTTTGGCATGGAGAAATGTTTAGTCTGCAGCCAGTTCTTAACAGCTCTTGTGAACTCCAGTGGGTGATCTTTCCAATTCCAAGCACGGCTGTGTCAGCTGCTGCTAAGCTTTTTAGCTGAGCTGCTGGTGTCACTGGTTTAAATTAGTTCTTTATATTCTTTCTTGGAACATCTAGTGGATTCCCTATATGTGAAAAACTCACTTCACTTGGTGACACTAGAAGCTCAGCTAAAAAAGTAAAAATGACACTAAACTCAGGAGTTAAAGGGGTTCTAAACCTTCCTGTTTTTTTGCCTATGTCTACTGCTATCAGGCAGTAGATATAGGCAAACAGTTTAAAAAAAAACGCTAAAACAGCGGTTAAAACTTACCTTTTTTTCTTTGCGCGCTCCCGCCCGAGAAAACGAAACTGTTCGGGCAGCCGCAAAGCATCTTGGGGCGGGCGCATGCGCAATTCGGATTCTCGGCCGTGAGACCTACACCAAGGTAAGTGTATGGACCCGCATGCAGACCCCGCTGGATCGGAGAGACAGAGCAGTCAGCTCTGGATCGGAGAGCCGCCGCACCGCTGGAGGGACAGATGAAAACATCAGGAAAGAAGAAGATCGGAATAAGAGACATCATTTAAGGTAAGTGCTAACATTAACATAGGGGGGAGGGGGAAAAAATTGGACTTTAATGTCACTTTAAATCTTAAAAATACATTCAAGTACCTTAACTATAAACAAAAATGTATCTTATTTGTGTATCACTCGGCTGTAGAGCCTCAAATAATCTCTGAATTGGTGCTGACACTGTGCTTCCTTCTGGAGCATGGCTACTTTTGTTCCCCGGGGTCCCTGTGTGTGTTGTAAAATAGTCACCACTCCAAGATTGATCCTGTGATGGACTACAATCTCATGTTTAGTTAGCTAATTGTAAAAAAGTTATAGTCTATCGTGACAGCAAGCTTGGAGCAGTGTCTACTTTACAAAACACAAGGACAATGGGGAACAAAAGTAGTCACCCTCCAGAAGAAAGGAAAGTGTCAGCAGGAATTCAGAGATGATTTGAGGATCTAGAGCCGAGTTATACACAAATAAGCTACATATTTGTTAATAGTTAAGGTACGTGAATGCATTTTTAAGATTTAACTTTCACTGTCACTTTAACAATAGCCCGTTACAGCTGTGGCGGAGGGGATCTTCTCTCTGGGGTCCGTAAAGACCCATGGAGGTATCATTTGTTGATAAAATAGAAATATCCACCGAGTGCACAGGTCTCCACAAAAGTAAACCCGTTAGTTGTTGCCACTGTAAATGTTAGTTTCCCGGCCATCATGCTGACTGCCTTGCTTGACAGCTTGACTTGTGTGGACTGCATACTTCTTGCATGGCACTAACTCATAATGTAAAGTATATTAGCATAGCAGTCAGGCAGATAGTGGTTTTTTTTAACATTCGGTTTGGAAATGAATGGAGATTCTTGAACAAAAACCACATTCATTGTTGTTTTGTTCGAGAAACATTTTCCATCCTGTTTCTTCAATTTTTTTTCATCACTACAAAAAATGATTGTCAATTTGATCCTATTAACTATTAGAAAATCAAATTTTTTTCAAACAACATTCTACTAGTATATGGCCAGCTTAACACTACAGTCAATACAGCTACCCACAAGAGTTCTGAAAATGCCAGCATTCAAAAAGGGCTAGGAGTCTGATAACAATGATCACAAATTTGGATTACTTATAGAATATGGCAGTTTTTGTACTGAAATAAGACATTTCAGAACCTTTTTCTAATGATATGAACTGGAACATGTAAGAATTCAACATAAGAACATTTTCCTTTCTAACTATCCTCACAATTTACTGAAATGGCGAGGAGTGGGCACCAAGCACTGTATGATCTCACTTCGCTCCGGGCCATGTTTCTGCATATGCCAGCGTCTTCCTAATTTATTCTCTTGAATTCATTTTTCTATGTAATTTTCTTTTGCCAGCCTAATATATTTACTGTTGTTATCAACAATAATCAACACATGCCAAATGCACAGATGGACAACATACATAGGTGAACACGCTTTCAAAGAAATAATGTATATTCTAGGAAACATCCTGTTCAACAGTTCCCTGACCTAAATATCACTCATCCTTGAATAAATATTTTATTCCAAAATGCTGCAGAAATCCCACAGTGCCTAATAAATGTATGTATAAAGTCATAGCGCAGCCCTACACAGTAAACCACAAATGAGAAATTAACTATTAAGCTCCTTGTGAAATTAGCGATCTATCTTCTATATATCCTCTCCCAGTTTAATATTAAATGCAACACCAGCTACATTCTTCATCTTCATTTTGCATGAGAACGGTTAGAGAGGAAACAGTACAAGGAGCCAATCAGTTCATGTGCTGACAAAAAGCATGCTATTAGGAAGGGAAAGCAGAGTGACAGAGAGATGAGCTCATCACTGTGCTGCTTCTCCTTTCGCTGTCCATTCACAGGCTGGGGTGGGTCCAGGATGTCCTGGGCATAGAGGAACAGGGGTTGAATGATGCTAGCCATTAGATTGAGACTATCTAGTGGCAGAAAAAAAAGCATTGCAGGGGAAATCCCTGGACTGAGGGCCCATTCACACCATGTCCGGATCAGATGCGGTACGTTACATTTTTCTTCCGCACCAAAAATGCATCCCAATGCATTTTTATGTAATTTTTGGGCTCTGTTCACACCAGTTCAGTCCGTTCCAGTGCAGGAAAAAAAATGCTGCATGTGACATTTTTCCTGCACTGGAACACACCCGAACAGCATCACAAACGCACCACACCGCACTGGCACGCAACAGAAGCTATGACATGGAGCAGGAAGAGATTCATTTGCATAATTACATTACCCCCTAAAAAAACAATGCACTGGAATGCGTCACAAATGCATCACAAACACACCGCACTGCGTTTGCAGAAAGGCGTGCAGATCTGGTCCGGACATGGTGTGACAGGGCCCTGAAGGTGAATATTGCAGCAAAAGCAAGTTTTGTGTTTGTGAATCAGTTCAGAACTCCAGGCAAAAAAACAAAAATTATAGATACTTCTTAGGTAACAAACTGTCAAACAAAATTAGACATACAGACAAAAAAACAAAATGATCTTCAGACAGCACAGCATTCTTCATCCTGTGATGGGCTACCATTTGGCATCATGGTTTGCTCAGACTCTCACAAGCCTTCTCTCTTGTGTATAAAGAGGACCTGACAACAACCTAAAAAAGAACAGAAAAATCAAGTATTTTTAATGGCTACTTGAAGTATTTTCTTTTCCCCCAAAAAAATGTATTTACCTGCAATGTGCCTTTGAACTTGCTGGGCAATTTGACCACTCCTGGAAGAGCCAATTCTCTAGCACAGCCACAGTTTTCCCTCTGTCCTGCCATGTAAAAGCCCACTCCTCTACAGAGGTTGTCTAATTACCTGTATGTGCTAGGGCAGCTCCTCTGCCCCTCCCCTTGCCTCTCTTCATGACCTTTTATGTAGTTTTCATGGTAGGAGCGATAGGGAAAACTATAGAGAAGGAGTAGCCAAACTTCAGCCCTCTAGCTGTAGTGAAACTCCAAATCCCATCATGCTTCTGCCTCTGGAAGTCATCCCTATGACAGTAAAAGTCTTGCAACATTTTATGGGATTTGTAGTTTCAACACAGCTGGAGGGCTGCAGTTTGGCTACCCTTGCTATAGAGTGTCACTTAAATGATACCTCCAAGTCTGCTGGGGCTCCTGACATCACTACCAAGATGGTGGCACTCAGAAGCAGTCTCAGGCCTTTTGGTTGTCTACACAAGGAAGGTTTTTACTTTTATTTTGATAAATAACATGAATGAAATCTGATAAATTCAGACATAATCTTTATGGGAAGATTGCTGTTTAAATATGGTCTGATGTCAGGGTCTCTATAATGACAGAACTATATCAACATAGATTCAGAAGCAAATCAGATGCAGAAAGGTTTCAGGTGCTTCTGAGGTGCTATTGATTTGCTTTTTAGTTTCTCAGAGTTGCGTCGAGCTGTTTCCACTTGCTTTAAGTTGCTTTTGCATTGCCATTGACTTGTATTTGAAGAAAAGCAGCTGAGACACACCTGGGGAGAAAGTATTTACAAAAGCTTCTTTTTCTATTGGTAACATTATTTTTCTGTTGGTTTGCGGGTGCTTTGCAGACTTTAAACACATACTTCAGCTTCCTAAAAATGTCTCTATCACAGATTCTGTTTATGAACTTTTGTTAAAAGAAACGTGTTCTTCTGAATTGCTTCTTGCCTGACTGTCATGCTGATCCAATTCTGACACAGACCAAGCATGCAGCTTAGGAAAGTCAGACCTGGTTATCTGTATACTTGTTCTATGACTGTAATTCAGAAAGTATTAAAGTGATTGTTTCAGTTCGACATCCAGAAGCCAGAGGTCAGCAAATGGCAGCCTTCTTACTTCTATACTACAGGCAGTGGCGTCACAAGGGGGGGGCGGCCCGCACCCGGGTGACACCATTGGAGGGGTGATACCAAAATGACTCACAGTCATTTTGGTGTCACCCCCCTCTGAAAAGTCGGGCGCTCGATCATGGACCGAATGCCCGACAGTATCAGGAGAGAGGAGGGGACCCGGCAGCATACCTTATCCCGCCGGGTGACTGTCCCCCTTTCTCTCTGCCGGCGTCCATCACCAAGATGGCCACCGGCAGGTATAAGAATACTGCCGCTCGTGCGCGATGACGTCATCGCGCATGTGCGCGGTGACGTCACGCGCAGGCGCAGTGACGTCTCGGCGGGGTTACACTCGGTTACCGCTCCGGGTGTCACCCAGCCTCCGGACGCCCCTGGCTACAGGTTTCCTTAAACCTATAGCTGAGAGCAGTGGGGGAACTACCAGGGTCGCAGTGGTTGCATGTGGGACCGGGCACTGGTGTTCTGCTACATGGGGGGCCCAGGAAGGAAGAAGAGGGTAACCGCCGAGGCACCGACATTGTCTCCTGGGACTACAGCGCCCAGCAGGCCAATGCTCTGCAGCATCATGGTTTCTTGCACCGGGGCCCTGAGGTTTCTAGTTGCGCCTCTGACTGACAGTATGCCTGCTAGAAAATAATAATGGACTTGGTTTGATGTGTTATTGGTAAAATAGTCAATTTAATATGAAAAAGAAAAAGAAAAGCAAAATATTAAATATCAGTCTTTCTGTATAGAGTTGCTCTAGAGACTTCAGAGCTGACGTCTCCAATACTATAGGTGTGCAAAGTGAGTTACATTTGGGGAAGACAATAGGGAAATGGTACATATGACCATAGATATGACACATTTCTGCATTCTGAGCTCTATCGGCATTCATTATATTTTTTGCATCCTTAGCTCCATGGACATAGGTTTATCCTGAGTAAATCCCCTGTGTTTATGTGCAGCCTCACAGTTAGGAATCAGGAAGATGAGAGGACGAGAAGGTCATCTAACGAAATCAGAGGAGATGGCATCCCAAACTGTGAAGAAAGGTAATTGACCCTAATGGCCAGAGTCTTATTTAAACCATAGACCACAACAGGGCTAATCCATTAAAACAAAAGGAAAGGAAATGAGCCCAAAATGGTCCACAGCAACCAGAAGTCTTATTTCATTTTTCCATAAAACGAGAGGTAAGCCTTGATTGGTTGCTATTGGCAACAACGCTTTTGTGCTTATGCTCTTTTCTCAGACCCAGATAAGTCTTTACAGAGACAAGAGTCATTCATTATATAAATAATATGGTATTGATAATTAATATTGTATTATTAAAGCTGAACACCAACCAGGGGGGAAAGATTATCATTATAAAGGTGCTTCATCACCTGCCGCAAAAATGCTGGCCTTTTGTTTATGAAGATCGTCCTTTAAGGTTTTTCCCCCTTCCAATATGCCCTTATTAACCCATATTTTACAGTTTAAGCGACTGTATGTCTCTGTTTTCTCCCAATGGAGAAGTGGCTCCCGATTGCATAATTTCATCAATGGAGTTTGCTAAAGTGACTGGTGACGTTACACTTTCTTCTGTGGGCAGAAACGATCGGTGCAGCACTCAGTTGCAACTTACCACAACGATCTCTGGGGCTGCTAAGGCATCACATATACAAACTTACCCTGCGCCAATGTGGACCAATGTAACTATGCATAAAAATGTTACTTGAAGTTCAGCTTTAACCATTTCTCTGACGACGCCGTAAGGCATTCGGCGGAACAAAAACATTTCCAGCTGGCCAGGTCAATGTACCATTTGGTGCTGGTTTTCACCCTTCAACTATAAGCTCATGGTTTCTTCAGCGAGACCTACAAAATTGGAAGCACCATGTTTTTTATACCAGTCCTGTGCTTTAAGAAAATGTATGGTTTTGGGTTAAAAATAAAAAAGGTGATAAATTGCAAAAATGGTCTGGCCAGTTGAAGTCAAAAGAGGAACCCAGGGCCTGGCATTGAAAGGGTAACTAGATGGTGACAAAAATGTTGATTTTCTTCTGACACTAGGAATACACTTGCAACTATATTTAAAGTATATGTCTAGCAAAAGCCTTTTTTTAGCTGATAGAGAAAAGGCCAGGACCACTACCAGCTTTTATTAGTTGTCTGTTCCCCATTACAGATTGTCCCTCTCTTCCTGTCTGGCAAAACAATGGTCAGAACAGCAATAAGTAAGGGAAAATCTTTTGGAGCTTGGATAGCAGTAAGGAGATCTTACTGTGTCCAAAACTAGAAAATACTTTTTTGTCTTGACATGCACTTTAACAAAATCTTGAAATCAGAAGAATTCTGAGATCCAGTTTAGCTCAGCAAACCTACCTCCGTATGTGGGGGTGGATTGGATACCTTTCCCAGTCTGAAAGATTCTGTATTGGGATTACAAGAGGCTGGTAAGAAGACAAATTCTGGTAATAAACTAGTTACATTTAAAAATACACATATTGATTTTTAAAGAATACACAAATGTAAAAACTGATAGGATTTTAGCCTTCCCTACACTATTCAAATGGGAAAAAAAAAAAGTTTTGTTTACAGTCTGCAGAAGAGAAAGAAAAAAGTTGTGAGTTTTTTATACCAGACTTTTAGGTCTGGTAGGAATATTAGGAGGGACCCCCCAAGTTAAAAATATAAAGTGTGCGGTGTCCCCCCAAAAGCCATACCTGGCTCTTTAGGTCTGGTAGGTATTTTAAGGGGGAACACCACCTGCAAAAATGGGGGGGGAACCTGTGGGGTCCCCCCTAAAATTCCTACCAGACCCTTGAACCGAGCACAGGCCTGGCAGGAGGGGGGGCAATCAAGCACCCCCCACCTGCGCCTTACCAGATCACGTGCCCTCGGCATTGAGAGGGTGTCCCCGTGCCGATGGGGGCAAGGGCCTCTTCCCCACAACCATGACCCGGTGGTTGTGGAGGTCTGCGGGCGGGGGGCTTATTTGCATTGGGGTACTCCTTTAAGGGGGCACCCAGATGCCAACCGCCCCCCACCCCCCTTGTGAATGAGTAAGGGGTACTTTTGCTGCGGGACTTTTTTTATTTCGTCAGGTCAGCGGCCGTGGTGCATAGTGATTGACGCTGGATAACATCGATGGATCCATTTTTTTTCCATATATTAATTGTCAAAAATTGTGGTTTCTTTATTTACATTGACTTTTATCCCTTTACAAGGACCCCTTGCTCATTCAGAAGGGGGGCGGCATCTGGGTGCCCCCTTAATTAAAGGGGTACCTCTGCCCGCAGACCCCCACAACCACCGGGTCATGGTTGTGGGGAAGAGGCCCTTGTCCCCATCGGCATGGGGACACCCTCCCAATGCCAAGGGCACGTGGCTTGGTAAGGTGCAGGGAGGTGGGGGGCGCTCGATCGCCCCCCCCCCTTTCCTGCCCTCCTAGGCCTGTGCTCGGATCAAGGGTCTGGTAGAAATTTTAGGGGGGACTCAATGTTTTTTCCCACCATTTTTGGAGAGTAGGGTTCCCCCTTAAGTTTCCTACCAGACCTGAATTCTGATATGGCTTTTGGGGAGAACCCCACGCACTTTGTTTTAATTTTTAACTTGTTAGGGGGCCCCTCTTAACTTTCCTACCAGACCTAAAGGGTATCAATTGGAGGGGGGGGCTCACACTTTTTTTTTTAGCTTCTGTACAATGTAAAAAAAAAAAAAAGTTTTTTTTTTCTTTTGTCTAATGTCACTTTACTGCAACGAAAATCCGTCCAGGGAAGAAAATTTGTACATATTACCGCTAAGGAATTTTGTCCGAATCCCGGAACGAATTGACTTTCGGACCCAAATCCCAAAAAAACGAAATAACGGAAAAAACAAATGAGAACTAAACAAAACAATTTTTTTTTTTGCCTGTGCACAGGTCTATTGGCCAGGTTTATACACATTCTGATTAAATCCTGTTAGGATAAACAAGGAGGATTTGAAAAGTCCCCTTTAATTTACTACGCATTTTCAGTTCTGTTAGATGTGTCTTATGTTGGTTATATTAGACCAGTAAATCTGACTTTTCCTCTGTTTCTCTATTAGCCCAACTCCTACCCTTGAAGACATGAACTCCTGGGGCCAGTCGTTTGACAAGCTCATGGCCACTCCGGCAGGAAGAAATGCTTTCCGGGAATTCCTCAGGACAGAATTCAGTGAAGAGAACATGCTCTTTTGGATGGCCTGTGAGGACCTCAAGAAGGAATCCAACAAAAATGTCATAGAAGAGAAAGCTAGATTAATATATGAGGACTACATCTCCATTCTGTCTCCAAAAGAGGTATTACTATCTATTTATCTCATTTGTTATATTATTATATTTATACAGATATGAGGTTGATGCATCCTAGTGTTGTGTTCAAAGTTTGAGCTTGCATCTCTTTGCAGGTGAAAGTGGACTTTTACATAAAAGTTTAACATTTTTTAAGTAAACTTTTAAAGTTTAATTAAATAAACATCTATTTTAAAAGACTTTCAAATAAAAGTGTAGTGAACGTCTGGTCAGGGGTTCTCTTCTCCACCCTCTGAGGTCAGCAAATGAACGGGCCAATAAATGGTCACATATTATATAATGCTGGGGATGGGGGCACCACATCATTGTTATGTAACTGCCCTTACTTGGACCACACAAAGGTAATTTCACCATGATAATGCAATGGATCCATAAGACCTCTGTCGTTTGACCCATTCATTAGGCAAGAGTGGGGATACCCACACTTCTGTGCTCTGCAGTGGATGTAAGTCAAAGGCCTTTACCTGTGTCGTCAACACTGAAATGAGTCTGGAACACATTTTGCAGTGGAACAGCAAATGGTTAAATAATCCCTTGTATAACCATTTATCCAACCATTGGAAACACATTTAGAGGAGGAAGTGAACAGAATTGTTAATGTTTACTATCTGCTAATTATATTACTTAAAACATCCTTGCCTGTTCTTTCATGTGTAATATCATAACAGAGACTGAAACATTTTATACTAGTGGACAGAAAGCTGTAGCTCAACCACTGTGGGGAATAGTGTTAACTTTCCAGAAACAGTTTGCTTAATCTCTGCTGATGCCAACAGATGTATCTTCTACACTGAGAGGGCAATGGATAAACAAACCACAACTACAGGTGTGATCGCATCACTCAAGGAACAGACAATATCACTGGTGGAACTGGCTGGACCAATGCTTTGGGGACCGGGAGAAACACTTTGTCTGGTTTCTTAATAGTTCACTGACAGCAGTGAAACAAAACACATTTTCACTTTATTAAACTGGCAAGGTCTACACTTTACTGAGACTCTTCAGTGTGTATAAACAATGGAAAGACATTTAAGATGATCACCAAGTGAGATCCCCCAAGGAGGCTTTCTTAAGGCTTGATGTGAAAGAGAATAATTATTCTTAAAACAGTCTGACCTTTCTGGTATTATATTCCCAGACAATACAGCAGAGAGTCATTAATGCCATTTGAAATAAGAAAACAGACTTGTCAATCAGAAGAGCTGCTTACAGTAAGTCATATTTGGTGTAAGGAGATTGAGGCTTATTATGGCACAGCGGGTATGGACTGAGCACAGTATGGGCCAACTGTTAGTGGCTCTTGGTTATTATTTGTTACAAGCTGAAAGGTTGCAGCAACAAAATATGTGGTCTGAGCTTTTATTGAAACCTAAAGGATAACTGTAGTTTTAAAACACATTAGCTGTCGGATGGGGTATAGGCCTGAGAGGTGGGTTCATTGCAGATTTTAACACTATACATCAATCAACCATAACATTATGACCACCCATCTAATATTGAGTAGGTCACTCTTTTGCTTTAAAAACAGCCCTGACCTGTCGAGACATGAACTCCATTAGACATCTGAGGGTATGCTGTGGTATCTGGCACCAAGCTCTCAGAAGCAGATCCTCTAAGTCCTGTTGCAAGGTGGGCCTCTATGGATCGGACTTGTTTTTCCAGCACATTCCACATTGAGATCTGGATAATTTAAAGTCAACATCTCAAACTCATTGTTGTGTTTTTAAAACCATTCTTGAAACATTTTTTGCAGTGTGGCAGGGCACATTATCGTGCTGACTGCCATCAGGGAATACCGTTTCCATGAAGGGGTGTACTTGGTCAGCAACAATGTTTAGGTAGGTGGTACGTGTCAAAGTAACATCTATATGGATGGCAGGAGCCAAGGTTTCCCGGCAGAACATTGCCCAAAGCATCACACTGGCTCCACCTCACTTCACCTGTCAGTAGTCATAGTGTTATGGCTGATCGGTATATACTGTATATTGTAATTTGATTTGTTTTGTAATAATAAAATTAGGTTTCTTTCATATAATGATGTTGTCTAATATATATACTCACTGGACAGTAAACTCCCAAATCAAGGTTGTTCTATATCTTGTCTAGTAATATGTGATGTGGGTACTGAGCTGCAGCTTGAGACTCAATAAACCCTTTATGGTTTACTGGTGCTTACTGTACTAATTTAGAACCAGCCAGTGCTTCATAAATCACTGCACTAAAATCTGTAACAGAATATTAAATGTCAGCTTTTTCTTTTTTAGGTGAGCCTGGATTCCAGAGTGCGGGAAGTCATCAACCGCAACATGTTGGAACCCACACAACACACTTTTGATGATGCCCAACTCCAGATCTATACCTTAATGCACAGAGACTCCTACCCACGTTTTATGAACTCTGTAATATACAAGAACCTTCTTCAAACCTTATCGGAGGACACTGCTGAATCTTAGGGGGGGGGGGGGGTTTCTGTTTTGTGTTTTTTAATTATTATTTTTATTGTTCTTTTTATTTATTTAAAACCAATGAAAAAAAATGGGTACTACACTTGGCAGGGAGTTTAGCACTATTTCCCTGAAATTTCAACTCAGGCATATTTTAATAAAGACTTCTATAATATTATCTACGGCTGAGGGCTCCTCGTTGCCAATGCCTGTTGCAGCTAGTTATCGATTTTAGTGATATTTTCCAAGTAAGACACAAAAAGAGTTGGAAATGTTTTTAAATGATATATTAAATATAGTAGTTGTATTTTTACAACAGTAATTAGTATATATTCAAAGACGAGCATTACACAGGTGGAAGTGCCTTGCTGTGTTTATGTCTATTTCCTAGGACTAGGTTGGATTAAAGACAAAGATTCTGATGTCCAGAACAAGATTTGTTTACTAGGAAGGGTACTTCCACTTGTCTTCGGGGATATACAATATATGCTTGTGAGTATGTGAATATATAGATATTTATACTGTATATATGCACACATACGTTATACAAGCAGGAACAGTCTTGAGTTCATGAGATCCACTGGTATGGAAGACTCCTGGCTTTTTGTTAAAGGCCTAAGATTCTGATATCTAAATGTAACTTGTTCATATTTTAAAGGCTGGTTTTGAATAATGACTCACTGATTCTCTTGTGCAATGGGAGAAATGAAAGAAACAATAAACATGGACATTTACATCCTTTAGAAAAAAGAAGACAAATGTCTGAACTGTAATAAAGCACAATAGTTTTACTGGATGAGTGGTGGTTATTTTTAAAATGATTTGCAATAAATAATTACTCCAAAGCTTGGTTCTTTCTACAGATGAAATGCCTAGTGCAGCATATACGTGGTGGACAATATAATGGACTTAGCCACCTTACCAACCGCCCAGTGTCTGCAACCCCTCTCTGCCAATCCCTGCACTGGCTTCCAATCGCCCAAAGGATAAAATTCAAAATATTAACAACTACTTACAAAGCAATTCACAACTCAGCCCCAGGTTACATCTCCAACCTTGTCTCAAAGTATCATCCTAACCATCCCTAACACTCCTCCCAAGACCTCCTGCTCTCTAGCTCCCTTGTCAACTCCTCCCATGCTCACCTCCAGGACTTCTCTAGAGTCTCCCCCATTCTCTGGAACTCTTTACCCCAACCTGTCCATCTATCCCCCACTCTGACTGCCTTTAGGCAATCCCTTAAGACTCATCTCTTCAGGAAGGCTTATCTGACCTCAACCTAACCCCTGAAATATCACTTTCTCATACAATTCATCCCCACACAGCTACCTCCTCATTTCTGAACTTCATAAAGAAAACTTGTATTCAAAAAGTATGGGAGCAGCTGTTCCTAAGCTCACCTTTTTATGACAATAGTTCCCCGAATGTCATACTAAGTCAGTGGCGTTAGTAGTTTAGCAGTACCGACTATGAGCGCTTACAAAACTATGACTTCCCTGATCTACATACTTGTTTTGGATCAACATTTCAGAAAGTATTAAAGCTGGAAACAGCCAGACATTTTCAGAAGGAGGTCAACAATTACAGCATGCTTATGTCTTTTAGCACAGGTTTCCGGTCTATGCATGTTGTCATAGAAGTCCTAAGACTCAATTCTCAAAGCTACAGCAAAAAATAAGGGTCTTTATTTTAGCCATGTGACTGCAATTTTCAAAGTTTAATTGGACTCAAAAAAAAAAAAAAATACTGTAACTGGCACAAGTATCCCCTTTCTTGTATGTTAACCTTGTGAACTGAGCCTATTGACTTTATATTCACAAAGCTTTAACAAGATATAGGGATCTTTATGTGACTGCAATGTTCAAATCTCATTGGACTTTTATAAGTCTCCCTTGCCTGGCGTGTTAGCTTTGTGAATTGAGCCTATAAACTGTATGTTTTAGGGGTTTGCACCATTCCACAAGATGAAAAGCTAGCTCTTTGGGAGATGTCCCGTGAGGTTTGAGATCTCATGACTGTAGAAGCAGTAGAAATTATTTGTCTTTATTCTGGTGTTCATGAAACCATTCTTGAATTTGTCAGCTGCAAGTGTGGAGGTCCTATTATCCTGGAATATGGGAAGAATATGAGGGAACAGTGTTTGTAACATAGGGTACTCCTGGTCCTGTAAAATTACAACATATTCGATGGCCAATATATAATTATATGGAACAATCATCTGACCTTCTGAGGCTGATGTCGTGGGTGACTTTGTAGCAGTGATTTTCAGCAAATACAAATATCTCTGATTGTTATTTCTGGTGATTTGTAGATAGTTACAGAGTAGCTGGTGTGCCATGATTGCATTGGATTATACGAATAGCTACTGAAGCTGGAGATTCTGTAGCTAGATACAAATGCTGTAAAAAGTCAATTCAGCATACTAAGGTTGGTGAGGTCTGCCGTATATCTGACCCCCTATCTACATGGCCAGCCTGTTATTGATCGGAAGAAGCTTTGGGGCATGTAAAACCCTTACTGTTATGCTTTGGCACCTCCTACATTGTTTTATTCTTTCACATCGTGTATTGTATCCTTTGAAACTTCAATAAATACTACATGCTAAAAAAAAAAAAGTCAATTCAGCATCAGAGCTACACATTGCTTGGAATTGTACCAACAGTCCTTTTACTCAACTGCAGTTCATTTTTTTGGCATCAAAAATGTTAAAGGGTAGCAATTAGGGATGCGCCAATATATCGGCCGCGAAACATATCGGCCGAAAATTGCACTTTTGGCTGAATGCCGAAAGTGCAATTTTTCTGCTGATACATCGGTGCATCCATGCTTTCTTTCCTCCCCAGTGTCCCAGCAGGGAGGAGAGAAAGTGTGACAGCCGGCTGAGCGCTGCGGGAAAGCATACACTAATATCTGCTATAACTGCACTTATTCCCTGTTAATATAACCAGGGAATTTATAGCCATCTGTGAGATGTTATGAATGGTAGAAATATGTTGCTCTTTAATGCATGCATTTTTAACTTGATACTATATAACAAAACATTAGGAAAAGACTAAATGATTTAATATGCAAAATATATTCCCTAAGTTTTTATATTGGATTGGGTGCTTACCACACTAATCAACACTTATGTTGATTAGTGTGGTAATGCCCAAAACGTTATTGTTCATATCAAAGTTTTGGGCATTGCAGCATCAACAAGTTATACAGAGTTAAATTCACAAAGATTTACCCTCCACACCACATAAATAAAACTTATCATAATTCTCTGCATAGTCTATACTTACCCCTTTCACTATCTATGCCGCCAAACACTGCTCTGACAAATAAACATTGCTGTCTTTTCAAAAAATGACACTTCCAGGAGTGCTGATCTCTGGATCCCTAGCTGAACTCAATGGTTTCTCCTGCCATCAGTGGTAGAAACCACTAAATGCAGTGGGGGATCAGATGATGAACACTCCCCGCAGTGTCAGTTATTGAACTGACTTCAGTCGGTAATTCACCTTAATCAGAGCAGGGTTCAGTGGCGGTGGCAGCAGGAGCTTCAGACTGGCTATAATTGTGAGGCTCTATGACCCCGGTGTCAAACCTGTGGCCCAAAGACCACATGCGCTCCTTTGGCACATGCTGTAGGGCCCTCAGGTGGCAGCAGTCTGTATTGGGAGTAGGAGCATTGAATGTAGAGGGATAATAGCAGTAATCACTACTACCCTGTAACACGTCCCCAGTCTCACACTGTCTTCTCCATATCTCCAGTCCCCAACCAAACCTGACAGCCTTCTCCAACACTACACATACTGTACATTATGTGTGGCCCTTTGGTGATCTCAAGGGGCACATTTGGGGCCCCCTATACCTCATAAGCTGACAACCACCACTCTATGAGATGTCAATTGAGGACAGCAGAAAATGGAGACAATAGAGGTGAAAATAAAATACTGACTCAGGGGAAATTAAGGCTTTTAACATCCATTTCACGTTAAAGCATACGGATTCAAGCCTTTAGCAACATTTGCATAATGCATGTTATGTCATTTCAAAATGTAGGATATTGATGAGAAAATGATTTGGAGGAAAAATAACACGCAGACTTAGTTAAATGACATTTAAAGGGTTATGTAAAGCCAAAACCCTTTTTTTACAGTACGTGGAAGGGTTAGTACTTGTTTGATCTCTATTGCTGTGTCCCTGCTGGGGAAGTTCACTCTCACTCTATTTGTCCTGGTGACCATTGTCTGTGGCACAGAAAATGAAGGAAAATCCCAAATCTCTGTGTTTTTACAGGAACAGGAGGCGAGGGGAAATCTTACGATAGGTATTCCTGTCCTGGTGACCACTAAGACAGGAAATCCATGTGTCTTGGAGAGATATCCTCTTACTTCCTGCTGTCTCTTTAAGACATAAAGTAAAGAGATATCTCCCAAATTAGATACAGGGGAAAAAACCTGACAGGTATAAACTATTCACTGCTCTATCCAACACTTAAAAATGTTTAGGCTTTACATACATTTTAAGTCTCTTAAATATTCTGTGATTGAACTTGCTATGATACATAAGATACATGATATGATCATCACTGTATTGCACATAGACTGCAGAGGGCAGAGCTCTGGTAAGGACCCAACATGTCCACCCACTAAAGACTGCTTGCAGAAATTTACAGGGGAGGTCGGATAGAAGAGCAGTCACCCTGCACGAGGAGAGAGCAGCAGTGATAAAAGTTGCTTGATTCTTTTAATAAAAAGATTAGCAGCAGTGATTGGTCTTCACAAAGGTAAAGATTCCCACTGGATTACTGCACTAATCGGGAACAAACACACGTAGCACACCAAGATTCAAGTAACAATACATATGCCTCTTGTATTTAGACAACATTTGCTTATCCTGGAGTTCAGCTTTAATTAAGGAGAGGAGATTCAGTGCCGAATGACACGCTTCCAATAAAATAAATCACATCATAATAAAGAGGAAATGTATATCTAGAAAACACACCAGATGTCTAAATATTACAACATAATGTAGGATGATATCAGTACAGTACTCACATAAAAAATATGCATGCTATATAGAAGTAATATAAAAGTGAGTCTAAAACATACGTTCATCTACTACGGCATTGTGGCCATTCATAAACAGATATTTGTTCATGCTTTCAATGGTTTCCAGAGAGTGACACATTAATTTTAATTGTATAATGTATATATATATATATATATTTACAAACTTTGTGTTGCGGTTTGTTTAACCCACCCTCTCTAGCAACTTCAGCACGAAATTATAGCTAATTTGCCTACAAACGCCAGGTGGTCATAATAATCTGGCCACTCTGTGTAGGTTGAGGCTGTGTTATAAACAGGACTTTTTTTTATAATCTGCAGGATAAAATGGGTTCTGCCTTTAATATTATATTTTAAATTTGCTGTGGGTTTGCCTCAAAGGAGGCTACCATCAGGCCCACGACTCTCATGCAAAACCAGAGAGTCAGACAGTTTCTGGACTAAAGAGTTTGAACCGGAGACTGGAGAGTCTGATGTTTCTCCTGTGAAAGGAACACTTTGGTCTCAGATGTGTCCAGGACAAGACCCAGATCCTTCAAATAATGAGTCCGTTCCAGCGACCCTTTCTGAAGGTTCAGGATTCACTGCAACATTTGGCTGTTCCCTCAACAGGAGGTTGTCTAAGTATTCCAGAATGGGGATGCCATGAGAGTGCAGCAGGGCTAATACAGGGGTTGATACCATGCATCATACACAATGTGCAGATGAGAGATCG